GATGGACGGCGATGACATATGTGGTATTATTCTAACACCTTCAATTCTGTGGTAATATAGTCACAGGACGCAACTGAGATTAATATATATGATGACGCGCAGGCCCTATAAGGGAGCCGGAGGGGGGTGTTGGAGACCAGAGATTCCGATTCCGAGTGGGGTTACCCTACTTAGGGTGGTTCCTAGGTATCGAGCTCTGGTATTCCTAATACTTTCCTGCTATTTTTCTACATATTTTTCCCAAGTAGCAATAATCTTTATGTGTGTTCTTGTTTTCTGGACCTTTTCTAGGTCATTTCATATTGTCATTTTCATATTCTTAATCCCACTTTTGATTTATCTTATATTAATCTTTGTTTCCTGCAGCTGTGTTAGTGGAATAGTGAGAGATGGAGCTGTACAAGGCAGAGGAGAATTATCCTATGCTTTACTATACTGGAATCAATGGTATGGCAGCTGAGGGCAAGGCAGGAAACAAAGGATAATCAATAATGTCTAGTTATGATCATGATATGTTTAGTTCTTTAGTTCATACTTTGTTAAATTTAATAGCTGTAATTTGGACAAAATTATGGTACACACTTAATAAGCACTATACAACTGCTCTCTAACCTCTAATCCCTACTCTGTATTATCAATTAATTATAAATCCTGGTACTGGCATAAGTACTAAATTAAGGGGTTGGAAAAAAGTCTGTCAAACTCTTGGCACCAAATTGCATAGTACACTCATCCCTTGCTATCCTGGATTATGTTGAACTGTATATACTGCTGAACTGTATACACTGCTAAACTGTATACACTGCTGAACTGTAATGAACCTTTGATACGACTACTTCCACCTACGACTCTATCTACTAAACCAGAAAATGTGACTTTTGAATTCGTATAAGTTATTAAGAGATTTGATCCCCTGTTACCATGGAATATAATTCTGCTAATCAGAATACCATGACTACTGTTTGCAAAGCTAAGCCTAAAAGAGTTAAAAGGTGGGTCAAGATAATTATAATTAAGAGGGGTAAGAAGGTAGAGTTTAGAGATGTTAGCAATTGAAAAAAAAAAAAAAAACAAATGATGGGTATAGAAGGAAATAATCTATATTACTATACTCATAGCAGTTTACTATTATCAGAATCCATTGAATCACTTGACTTTATTGCCTCCAGTCTATTACAATAATATCAACTATGAAAAGAACTAAGAGGGTTGACTTGACTGCCATACAGAAGTTTGAACTTTGCTGCTTTCATGCCCAACACCCACAAATGAAGCTGGCAGATTTTGCACTCCTTGATAACTGCCCTCGACATCCCAATAGTGAACTCCTTGCAATTTCAAATCTTTCTGATCATCTCAAGAGGTAGAGAGATAAGGTGAAAAGACAACTACCAGCAGGTAAATATTTTAATGTCCAGTACTTAAGTATCTATTTTGAAGTTTGACACTTTGTCTAGAACTTTTCCAAGCCACTTTGATGTTTAACTTCAATTCAGCTATTCAAGTTATAATATTAGATATGAACAATACTAAGAGTGAGTTTTATAAATAATAGGAATGAGTGGAAAAAAGCAGAAAGACCTAGTTCATACCCATTTCTGGAGCACTTCCTGGTACTTTAAATTGATGTCACCGAATATGCAAAAGTTCCAGTAACCAATAATAGTATTCAAGTACAAGGCATGATTGTACAACAGGAGCTAGAAAGAATAGAGGTTGATGAGCCATATGATAGTTTCGAGATGTCTAATGAATAGTTACAGTAATTCAAGGGTCATCACAATTTTAGAAGACTGAAGGCTTGCGGTCAGTCAGGAGAGGTTGATCAAGAAGCTTTACCAGGACAATATAAACTCTTAGCTGAGAAACTTGCTGATTTTTCTCCTGATTACTGTTATAACTGTGATGAAAGTAGTTTTGTTTTTAATAAGCAACCACAGTCATCTAATGTACAATTAGAAAAAGGAAAACAGCTAAGAGGAGGAAAAGATGATAAGATTAGGATCACAACCTTCCATATTACCAACGAATCTGGAACCAATAAACACAAGATCTGGGTTATTGGATGTTCAAAAAGGCCTCATACCTTCTGCCAAAACTGGGTGAATCCTCTCAACCTACCAGTAGTATATCGATATAACAAAAAAGCATGGCTACTTACTAGTCTGTAGTTTGAGTTTCTACATAGACTAAATGATAAAAATTAATGAGGATTGCACAATATCATATTACTCTAGTTACCGATAACTGCCCAACACATCCTCCTCCGACATCACCGCCTATTGAATATCGAAGATCAGTACCTCCAGTTGTTACGAATATTACTTTAATTTATTTACCTCCTAGGACTACATATTTCTTCAACCTCTCAATGCACGAATAATTGCTTCTTTCGAGGCAGTATACAGGAGACGCTATGCACAATCTATAGTCTAACATTTCAACTCCTATGAAGAGGCTTCAACCAAACTCAATATCCTAAAAGCAATCTACCTTATTGCAAATTTCTGGGAGTCGGTCACACAGTATACTATTGTTTATTACTGGAAAAAGGCTAAAATTACCAACCAAGTTGATGGTCAAACCAGAAATAGGAGGAACAGTAGTAATACAGTATCCAATAACTTGAGTACTCCCAGACTTGATCCCGTTGAGCAATTCATAAGTGATGAGAAACAAGAATGCTAACAAGCTTTTCACCATTTACAAAAGGGAGGATTAGAAGACTTTCAGAACTTTGAAGAGTTTTTTGACTACCATTTTTCTGCTGTTAGTACCGACAACAATGATGAAAATTCTATGCTATATCTTTCTCTTCCAGATGCAATTACCTGTGTTCATGAAAGAGTAGCAGCTAGTATTCTATCCTGCTCTAAAGATGATCTTGAAAACAGTGAACCCAAGAATGAGGAAGATACAGCAACCCTTTCTTTAATTGGAGTTGAAACTGCCGCTCACTATGCCTTGGAGCTAGGTCACTACTCACAGGCTCTTCCAACTTCACATCTTCCACTCTCCATTAATAGCAGCCTTTCAGTTGAAGAATTAATACATTCTTCTCATAAACTTCACTAAGCACTTCTCCTGTATATTCTCCTCATAAATTATTCATCTGTGGATTTTTCTAATTGCTTTTAGCTATTGGGAAGCCCGCAAAACCCAACAGACTACTATTCACCAATTCTTTCAACCACAGACTACTGTGGAAAGTCAAAGCAGAGATAAAGGTAAAGGGAAGAATATTGGGTGCTCGGAGTTGAACTGGGATACTGAGACACAATATATAACTTCCAGTAGTGATTCACCGGTAGAGCATGAGGATAGTGAGCATGCAACATGCATGCCTACTCAATGGGTGACCAGAAGTGTGAATACTACCTATGAAAATTTGTTAAGATAAAGTTTCTCACAAGAATGGAAAGATCTCTTCCTTACTTTTCATCAGAAAATATGAACTCTTTCTCTCTCTCCACTGTTCCGGATGCCCCGTTGTCCCGGACAAAATATGTGAAATCTGACCATCCGGGATAGCGGGGGGTCAGTGTAAACACTGCCAAGAGTTCGGCAGACTTACCCATACCCCCTGGATAGGGAAAAACAGGGATGGCCAGAAAGGTTGTTGAACTTTTAATTTATCAAAAAGTGCCTAATTTTAATTGCTAGTTAGGGGTAACCATGCCAAGGTTGTGGCAGAGTAGCTAGCTCGCAACCATGGGCACCCTCTCCAGAGAGCTCAATGTCAGGCTTACGGTAAACCAAACCCAAGTCCCACCACATGCAAATAAATGTTGTAAAAGAATGTGTGAGAAAGCCAGAAGGATTAAAGCATCAGAAAATGATTGGTAGTGGTTTGTAATTCTTAAATCCACATACTCGTACGGTGCAGTAGTCTACAAATTGAAAGTGACGTTGAGCTGAATCTGACGTTGAGCGGTCGGAGAGTGCCCAAGGTTGTGAGCTAGCGAGCACTCCTACCGTCCTACGAGTAAGAACTTGAATGGTGCGGTGCCGACCCAAGCGACTCCTGCGATGGGTTCGGCCAAGCCCTGACCCAACCACGAGTGACATCACACCACCTACTCACCGAGCATTACCGCATTTCAGCCGTGGAAGCTCCCCTGTGCTCGCAAATACAACCTTAACTCACTTCACTTGTGCAACACCATATCAGACACCACCACAGCAAGCGAAACAAAAATTACACGAAATGCCTCCTAAGAAGCGTGCTTCACCCACGAAAACAAGCCTAGGCTCAGGTCCTAACAAAAAGACCAAAACGCCCCCTGTTGTCGACGGGCCGTCTAAATACGTTGAGAATCCGGTTTGCTAACCCATCCACAGAAGGTTTTGTGGGTACTCCTAACGGGTCATCTAGTTGTCGTTTATCGAATACGTAGAACTTCAAGATCCAAATGAAGAACCAGATGTCGAGGTTCGACATCTGCGCAAGGAGAAAAAAGATTATACTGGCAGCGAGGTTAAAATTTCCAAAGAAGGCTATGATAACCTCATTAAGATGTATATCGAGGTTGAGAAGCGGACTCCCGAGAGCAACGGAATAGCGCATATCTACGAGGATTATGCTGGGTATGGTATCATCGAGGTGATGGAAAAACAGGTACGATGAATCCTTAGACGTGATCATCCCTAATATTCACAGATGACTCACTAACAAGTGGCAGATACTTCAATACGAGAAAGAGAAGAAAAAGTCACACTTCGAACTAAAGCTCTACGCCATCGTCGAAGCTTTGGTATTTTTCCTGGATAGTTCCTATGATGGACGGTGGATGCGTAGGTCCCTTTAAACTATCTTTCCTGAAACCCAGCTAATAAGATACAAGATGTCGACGATGGTGACCGCGTCGAGGAGTTAATGTGCCTTATGGGAACCCTCTTCGTAGACTGTTTTCGCGAGCTAGACAAGGAAACCCCCATTGGCCGCTGGCTAGCCCCACCTGATAAGACTCCGCTTAAAAACCTAGGCCTAATAATGGGGCTGGCAATTGGTGCTGCCGGCTGCTGGATGGGCGACGCCGAAAGCATGGATTTCTGGTCTCAGGAGATTGAGAGAATGGCGGAAGCCAGAGGTATTCAACTTAGGAACTGTAGCGGACCTATCAAGGAGAAGAGTGACGGAACCAAAATGTTGGACTTTAGCTCTCAGGTTTGTTGCCCCCTTTCCCTTCCTTCCCCCTTGAAGCTAGGATTTGGGATGTGTGCTTGCTAATTACTTTGGAATTATAGTTGAAGGCGTATAAAAAGAGAAACGGGGCGCCTAGTATCGGCGGGAATCACTTCGATTTGAGTAAAATTTCGGAGGCGGAGAGGAGGAGGTTGGATGAGGGGGATATCTTTGATATTTGAGACTGGGGGATGGATTTACTAATGCCATGTTTGTATTTGTGATTCTGGTTTGGTGGTTTGATCTTTCTCTCTGCTCGGGTGGTTGGGTGGGCTTTTGCTAGTTCTTATGGGCGGGTGGAGGGGTTATCAGTGTTTGTCTCAATTCTAACTTGAATCGGCTTTCATACTGGTGCTTACAACAAGCTAGCTCGAGCCATGTAGAGTACCATGCCGCATTGTCACTTATTATCCTTTATTGCTGGCCTTCCATTCCAGATTAATTCTCAGCGCTCGTACCTGGCATTGCAGTATCTAAATAATCGTGGTTGTTGTGTGGTACAGCGCACGAACAGAGGCATCGCATGATGCAACAGGCTTGGCCAGCCCTGAATTCAACATCTCCTAGATGGGACATGAGTCCTAACCTGCGAAAGATTCCAAATTCTTGATTGTGAAAGCCCTTCAACGTCACCCCCTAAGGGTCTGTTCGGATACAATGGTTCCGTTCCGTTTTGCGACCGTTTCTGCTGTAAAAATGATCGTCAAACGGGAGGAAATGGTCACTTTGTAAATATGATATGAGGCAACAGAACGGAACCGTTGTGTCCAAACAGACTCTAAAGTTTTTCCCATAATGGTCCCAGTTCTGTCCCCTGGACTATCCGCACCCTCGGCCTTCCCCATCACACAAAACACCAGTATCGTACCGGTACATCCTCCCTCCCTCCGCTATTTCAACAAGTAATAGCGAAGTTCACATCCTCAGTCAACAAATCCGCCACATCACCTTCTCCGGTACTCTTAGCCCTTCACCTCTCCACGATTACCGCTATCAATATGTAAGCACATAACATATCAGCAAGACCCCACTCGAGACCCCGAGTGCCAGAGTGCTCCCATAGGCATTGCCCCACCTTACTGTAGTGTTTTGCCCACTGAATGTCCCCACCCCTGCAGGCTACCGCTATAGGAAGAGGAAGCCAGGAGAGGAGCATTTCTAGCCCAGCCAATCCAGTGATGTCTCCTTACTTTAATCAAAAAGACGAACAAAAAATAAAAACAAAGATTCTTCTTAACTAACCCCTTTGGATATGAATCTCTCACTCTCTTCCACATATAGCGCCGGCCACCAAAAACCGACCTTCTACTCACCTCTTTTTGTTGGCGGTAGAAGGATCGCTCAGTCGCTCGACTGATTGGAGAGAGAGGGAGATGTATATTGTCTATGTAAAAACAAAGGAAGGGTTCCTCGCAGAGAGCGAAGAAAACTAAGAAACAGTACTCGTACAGAAGTGTAACCTAAAGTTTCCCTTGACACACATGCCCAACAGTTCAAACCCTACTCGTCCACATGCACACCTCTCGTGTACATAGTACATGCAACCCATTCGTATCACACGCCAATCCGTACAGTACTCAGACTTTTACTACCAGGATTATACTACTATCATTTTTGGCCTAGTAATGTAACACATACGAAAAAGAAAGGTAAGAAAAGAGTACTCGAGTACTGTGGTGTCCTGGGATAAACTTGTGATATCTGTTCATATTTCCCAAAACGCCCCTCTAACCGTTCTCAACCAATATAGTATCATACTCACTTTTTTTACCAAAACAAGCCGAGTTCGTAGAACCAAAGAGGACCTAATCTCAAGTAGTTCTATATAAGGTTTTTCTCCCAAAGCCTTGTCGTTGGAGCCCGTTCATTGTTGGATCGATTTCTGACGGCCTGGCACCATATTCGGGTAGTCTTCATTGGTCATCTTCACAAAGCCCAGTTCTCGACTGAACACCCTATCGTAATATTGTCTATGTTGGGGGGGGGCAATTCACAGGGGGTGTCTAGCCCCAGTATGCTTGTAAAACGGGGTGACAAAAGTCATCGTTGATGGCCACTTTTACACCAAAAACGCTGTTTTTCTCAACATCAGCACTCAACTACCTAAGGTGGGAGTAAGTTAATTCTTCACAAATAGTGATTTTGAGTATTCTGAGACTGAGATTTATATTTTGATTAAGAGGTGGTGGAGAAAATTGCGATTTCCATCACCCTGAATTCCAACCATTTTGGCTTGTTCCGGCTGGTATCATACTGGGTCCCATCAACGATGACTTTTGTTCCGAGAACTATCAGTATAAATTTACCATGTCAACAGCGGAGGAGACGATCTGCCCCCTTCACAGCTAGGCTTCCCAGGGTTGACGCAACAACAGAACAGCATAAGTTAGCTATAGTTATACCGGTAACTCTAGACTAGAACGTTCTACAGGTACCACGCAGGTATGTGGTGCATAATATGACGCTCGGACTGGTAAAATTAGATATCTGTTCTTGGTGGAGAATGGAAGAGGTCCGGTCCGTTTGTTACTCCGGTATAATTGATCTAATTGATGCACCCAACCACTACCAGACCTAGCCCTTTGGCGGTTTAGACTTCCTAAAGAGTAATGATAACAAGCCACCTATCTATTCTGGAAGGAACCGTGGCGGTGAGAAATCTCCTAAACGATGTGAACTAGCCGTCAAACAATTCGCCCTACAGTTTGCCGTCCCAGAATTGGATAACCGCCCATTTTCCACTCCAGGCCCACTTTCTCTTTCCTTCCTCAGGGTCCCCACTTCTAAGCGCTAAGTCCTTTCCCTCGCTTAACCCCACCACCACGTCCGCCTTGCAAGTCCTCAGCGCCAATACCCTCACACCACTCCCAAGCTTCCCCAGCTCTCCAATCGCCTCTGAGAAGTCGGTGGTAGGGTCCCAGGCTGCGTCAGCTGTCAGCTTACGATAGTTAAGGTCGCCTTTGAATATAACCAATTCCGACTGCTTAAGGTCTTCGAAGAGTCGCGGTGCAGCACTCGGGAGTCTCCAGTAAGAGGCGGCCGTTGTCCAGAACCGATTTGGACGCAAAAGAAATTTCCCATTAGTGTGTAGCTCACTCCACTCCGAGAAGAGAAATTTGAGGTCGGATTCCTGAGAGTCTGAGAGCGGAGTTTCCTGTTCCCTCTTATCGGTTAAGTAGATATTTCCCGGGGAATCAAAGTATGACACAGGATCCCGCAGAGCGTTGATCAAATCCGTAAAGTCGCCCGGCAACACGTCGCTCACAAACCAAGGAAGACTCTTTGGATGAAAGACAATCTCAGTGGCAAATCCCGCGGTCAGAAGATATCCGCCAAAAATCAGGTCCACGAATAACTCAAAACCAGAATTGTCCAAAACGATATCAACTCTACCGACTTTTCCCTCGTCCCTCTGTTTTTTGAGAAGTTCGTACACCTTGTCCACCTGGCTGTCTAGAATATACTTGCTAGCCGCTTTGCGTGCTCTACTCCCCTGCAGTTGCTGAAGATCCGCGTATGTGAGAGAGGTAAGAAGGCTAAGATCTGTAGCATTGCCCCAAAGACATATCTCGCACATATCGGTGAAAAGCTTCTTCTCCCCTTCCTCCGTCGCCTCCTTAGTACCTGTGGGTTGTTCGGAGTTCTTGAGAGAAGAGACTAGCTGCCGATATCGTGAAGCCAACTCGAGAACTGCTGCCCGGGAAGATCTGAAAGCAGTAGCCTTCTGGACATGGAACACATCGTGAGTTTTCCAAGTTTTGCTGTTGGTAAAAAAAGTATTCAACCGGCGGTACAGGTAACATTCTGCAAATAGCCACGGCGCATCGAACCACTTGGGATTGCCCAACTTCTCTAGCTCTTCATTATAACCCTTGATATCATCTCCCCCGTCATCTTCCAAGGGTCTATATCAACTTAGTTAGTCTCGCAAGACAGGATAAGGGGCAAGGAAACCCACCTTATGAGTCGATCGTGCTGTAACTCAAACTTAAGTTGTGCGATCTGCCTGATAATCTTACTTCCCTCATGTCTATGGTTACTATCTTCAGAATCTCCGTGCTTAAAGACATCATCGACTGCTTGGGTCTATACACTTGTGTTAGCCCCTAGTATACGTATACGAATGGGGTTTGCAACAAACCAATATCACGGGCCATCGGTCGCGTGCAGAAACATAAGCAAAAGAGTTCTTATCCGAGATCCTATATGGTTCTGTGTTCGGGTTAATAAAGACAAAACTCCTGATAATTGTTATGGGAGGCTCGGTATTGTACCTTTAGGGAGGCCGGGATCCATAATCGCGACTCAATGGGAGGATAAATGATGGAGTTAATAAGGCTTACCCGAAATTCGAGTTCGAGTTTGCTAGACAGTTGCTACGTGAAAAGGGCATCCAATTGGGGTCTGGGTCGAGTGTTGGAACTCTGATGGGGTGTCCTGACTCCTGAGTACTTAGATCGTGGTGAGGGGAAGAATATTAGATTCTCCCCACCATGCAGTTGGGGCTTGGCAGCATCTTCCGCCAAGACATAGAGTCACCGAGCTTGTGGACAGAGCCCGTGTCGTACTGTACCCAAACGGCACCATACAATACACGTAGGACTTTCAAAGGCACCCCCCATTTTCCCCTTCGAGTCGGATAGCTAGGAGCGAAGATAACAAACACTATTCTATTCCTTATCTAACCCCCCAAGAGCTTACTGTAAGTTCAAACAGTCAAAAGAGATAATCTTTCTGATACTATCTGGACAAAAGCTGGTTGCCCTGTTTGGCATGCCCGAAAAACTCACTGTTTTTCTGACATGCCAAACAGGGCCTAATGGCACGGTAATGGTCTGCGAATACTGGTAGACTAGAGGGCCTGCGCAGAAAGGCCTAGGCGGTGTTGACATGAGTTAGTGGCGGGGTTTGGCAACCTGGTTCTTTGATCCCACCTGGCCAGGGTGTAAAAACCGTGAAATCTGGCCTGGAGTTGACGGCTCGAAATGCCCAGTTCCACAGTATGATACCATCCTTTTATGCCCCCAATAGGGTATGGTTTCACAGCTGCTTTCCTTAAGCGCAATCCCAAAAGGAATGACTCCAAAATGCTTGAGAATTGGCCACCACATAACCTCTTGAAAGGACCAAGTTTAAGAGGATTGACACTTGTTCAGCGTTTGATGAGTTTTTGATGTGAGTGACAGCCTTTAGCAACACCATTAGTAACTCTCACCTAGGTCAGACCGCGCAAGTCCTGTAATGGGCAAAGGAAGAAACGGAGTATGATACCATAAGAAAGTCCCACACTCACTATACCGGTATTTACCCAACCTAAACACCTAAAGAACGCATGGAGTGATATATACTGGATATCATATTACATTACAATTTTTTACACTCAAGGTCTCCCGTCTACAGTGAGGAGTTTTCTCATACCATAGCACCCGAACCAATAACTCCATTTGAAGCGTTACTGATAGTATGGAGGTCCCTCTAACAGCTAAAGCACTAGTTTCCTTGGCATCCAACAAAGCTCGAAACATTTTTCTAGACATTGATGAGTCAGCTTTTATGGTTTCACCGAAACTTTAAGTCCGAACCTAATTGAACAGTTTCATCCACCCACTTCTCGTTGCCTCAACTTTTTCTGTCAATCACCACCTACAACCTTCGCCTCCCATTCACTCTACCCGTCTAGAAAAATCCTAAACAACCCTCAAGCCTCAAATACCTCGCCTTCCTGCCGCCCATTGCCGCCCTTACAAGTAAGGACTTCCCAATCGACACTTGTCAGAATTGCCCGCGATGGCTAGCTCATTAGCCTTTCCGAACGGCCATGGAGTCATAGGGCTATCTCCTCGCGCGCGCTTCTCCGACATTCCGCGAAGTATCGATATTCCAGTGTCCGCCGGAGACGAAGACGAGGATGATGAGAACGCCGTTGTGGAAGTGGACCCTGACGCGCTCCCCGAGGATCCGACGGAGCTGTGTACTCTTCTTGAGAATGAAAGATCCCCTAAACAGTATTGGATGTATATCGCTCTTGCATATGCGAAACACGACAAAGTTGATATTGCGATTGAAATAATTACTAAAGGGTTACAAGCCAAAACCCACGAACCAATGGCTGAGAGATTGCCAATGCTCCATCTCCTCACATGGCTGTATCTGGAGCGCAGCCGTGAAGCTGCGAAAAACGTGGCTGGTATGAGTATGTCCCAATACTTTCTCGAAAGTATGCTAAATCCGCAACCCGGATCAGAAGGGTCTGCTTTGATCTCTGAGGCAAAAACGAAGGATCACTATCTTCAGCTTGCGACTCAAATACTCAACGAGTCCTCACGCCTGGACCCTGCTTCAACATTGGTCACTCTTGCCCGTGGTGTATACTCTGTATTCAAGGCATCCGTTGGTACAGTAGATAAAAACACCCATATGGACAATGCGGCAAAAATATTTGATGATGCCGTTCGAACTTCACGGGCGACCAATATGCTTGCGATTATGGGAAGAGCGAGAGTTTTGTATGGAAAAGGGAGATATGAGAGAGCACTCGAATCGTATCAGGAGGTATTGACCAAGAGGCCGGATATGGATCCTGATCCGAGGATAGGAATCGGATTGTGCTGTTGGCACTTGGGGCACAAGGACGACGCCTTGGTGGCATGGGAGCGTGCGCTGGAGTTGGACCCCAATTCCAAATATGCTCATATACTAAAGGCGTTATACCATCTTCATGTCACCTCAAATTTGTCAGAATACGACCCTGAATTCATCAACAATTACCGTTTGGTGATTGAGCATACCCAGAAGGCATTTAAACTCGACAAGCAATTCCCACTAGCGTGCACAACATTTGCCAGCCATTTCTTTATCAAGAAAGGATATTCGCAGTGTGAGCTTCTAGCTAAGAAAGCTATCGAGTATAGTGATGTTGCAGCTGTTACGGCTGACGGATGGTTTTCACTCGCAAGAAAAGCACATGTCGAGGGAGAATATGAGAAAGCATTAGGACATTACAAGAGGAGTGATGCATTACGGGAAGGATATCTCCCGGTAAAGCTCGGGATTGGACAAGTCCAGATCCTGATGAAAGGTACTTCTTAATTTTCACGATTTCGAATACCCTCACTAACTAATTTCCAAAGACCTTGGCGCAGCGAAGTACACCTTCGAGGCCATTGTTCAGGTAAATCCAAAGTGCATTGAGGCAAGATCGATACTGGGGACTCTCTATGCAGATGAGGTTCTCTCCGCCATCCCACGAACCGGCTTCTCTGCTTCAAAAGAAGATGTTACAGTTCTACATAGAAAGGCTATCAGTCTTCTTGAGAATGTTCGATTCACATGGAAGGCAGAGGCTAAAAAGAATGACGCCCATCACGAAACCATCCTCTTGTCTCTAGCACGGCTTTACGAAAACGACCAGCCCGAGCGAGCACTCCAATGCTTACTGCAAGTCGAAGAGATATATAAATATTTGATAGATAATGGAGATGATGTTATGATACCTCTTCAGTTGACAAATAACATTGCAACCCTCTACTGGCAAAAGGGCGAATACAACACAGCTCGGACGTATTATCAGAATGCTCTGAACGCAATTCCAGAGCTAAAAGAAAAGGACGACGCTGCCGATACTGATGCTCTCGCTACCACACTGACCTACAATTTAGCCCGATGTGAAGAAGCTGCTGGCAATATCGAGGAGGCAGTCAAGAACTACGAGAAGCTCTTGGCCTATCACGATGACTATGTTGACGCGAATATGCGGTTGGCTTATTTGGCCCTTCGACGTGGTGCAGAGGATGGTCATAGGAGGATCCAGAAGTTAATGCAGACAGACGGAAACAATCTCGAGGTTCGAGCATTATACGGTTGGTATCTCGGACGCCAAAAGCGCAAGCATCCGATTGTTATCTCGGATGATCCGGAGCAGAGGCATTACAAGCATACTCTTCAGAACCACGAAAAACACGACCGTTATTCCCTCATTGGAATGGGCAATATCTACCTTCTTGCTGCGCGGGATATCAAAAAGGAAAACGAGCAGGAGAGGGAGAAGCGGAGAAAGCTTTACGAGAAGGCTGTCGAGTTCTTTGATAAGGCTTTGCAATTAGATCCAAAAAATGCGTACGCAGCCCAAGGGATAGCAATTGCTTCTGTCGAAGATCGGAAGGATCTCAAAACCGCCATCAGCATGTTCTCCAAAGTCAAAGAGACCCTCTCGAAAGATGCGCACTCACTAGTCAACTTTGGACATTGTCTTGCTGGATTGGATCAGTGGGCCAGAGCCATCGAGAACGTAAGTCCTCTCTCTTCCCCTTTATCAATCCAGTTACAAAATTGCCTGCTTTCATGAGGGTCTTTCCTATCACTTGCTTCATACCCTATCTTTTGCGTCCCTAATTGCTTGTTTGTTTTTTTCGCTTTTCCCCATATGTTTTCCCCTTCGCTGTTATACCCTAGCCATCGGCAGGCGCCGGTGTCCCGGCCGACCGCTTTCTTGCCAAACATTACTCTTCGCTTCTTTTTGATTATTCCTTTATCCCCACTGTTTCAGACAGCTTATCTGTTTGTCAATCCTATCAACGCACCGCCGTTATCAATTCCTACCCCATATCGTTAGTTTTTCTTCATGCACTCATTCATTTACCACCCCAACGCCCCTCGCTTATCCCGCGCTTAACTGACCCCCACCCCACCCCACCTCCCTGGACTTCTATGGCCCACTCATTGGGGCCCCCAATATCATCAATGGGGGACCTTTCATATGGCTAACTTTGTCCTCATTTCACTATAGTACGAGTCGGCTCTCACAAAGTTTCAATTGGCTAAAGACCCAACCACATTGACTTGCCTCGGAAAAGCATACTTCTCCAAGGGTCGGAAGGAACGAACGACTGAACCTGAGAAGTCTATGGAAAGCTTCAAGAACGCTCTTGATTACGCTAAGCGAGTAAGTTACATTAACCATCCCCGACCAGTAGCTAGCCAAGTATAGTTAAGCGAATTAACCCTTCCATCGTAGGCTCTGGCGATAGCACCGGATAACGTGATGTACATGTTCAATGTAGCATATGTACAATTCCAGATTGTCCAATTCATCATGAGCTTGCCGGAAACTTCACGCAGCCTTGAAGATCTTGAGGCTGCTTCTAAAGGACTGGAAGAGGGAATACAGTGAGTTTAGCCTTGTATATGTTTTTTCTTTCTTTTTTCCTCCTTTGCTTTTTCTATTTCTCTCCCTTTCCCCCTTCCTTCCCATGGACTGTGCTCGGAACAGGCAGGTTTCAGACGGCTACAGCCGCTGATCCCCAGGCGAACGTTATGCGTCGAACCACTTCTCTCGCACTCTCCCGGGACTAATATGATTTCCCATAGATCTTTCTCAGATATCGCACGGTCCAACAACCCCCCATACCCATCCTCAGAAATCGAGGCACGGTCCACCATGGGCAAGAACACTTTCCGCAAGCAAATGGAAAGAGCAATTCAGAAGCAACGTGAGTACGAAGAGAAGAACCAAGCCAAATTGGCCGAAGCAAGGCGCAAGCGCGAGGAAGACCTCCGACGCAAAAGGGAAGCCAAAGAAGCAGAAGAACGCGAGATCGAGAAGCGTAACAAAGCTATAGCAGATCAGCGCAAGAAGATGCAAGAAGAAGCAAGAGAATTCGCAGAGAGGAAGGCAGAAGAAGAACGCATCCGCGAGGAGAACTCTGATGGCGAGAAGAAACGGAAGAGATCGTCAGCTGCTGGGTCAAAGTCTAGATCTACCCGCAAACGCGGTAGTAAGAAGGACGGAACAATAGACTCCGACTCCACCTCCGAACCTTCTCGTCGCAGGAGCAAGTCGAAGTCTGCCATCACAGACGACGACGAACAGAAGCCAGCTAGGAAGCGCAAAAAGCTAACGCGTAGAGCATCCCCAACTAATAAGGGCAAGTTCAAGTCTTCAGAGGTGGTCAACCCCAGCGATGACGAGGACGATGACGACGATATCCCCGCCCCACCTCTCGTCCCCCTTCCCGAAGCTTCTGAGGAAGGGGGTAAGAAGCGTAAGCGTAAGCCTGCCAGGGCTATTGATAGCGGAGATGATGAGGATTTGGAGGATGTAAACGAAGATTTATTCGGGGACGACCCTAGTAAGACTATCGGGGGGTCTAAGGATGGTGAGGATGTGGAGATGCGGGACAGAGCTCCTACTCCTGGAGTCGATGATGAGGATTGATCGAATTGTCAAGGTTTCTTTTTTTCAATTTTTTTTTCTCACTTTGCTCATGTTAGCTTTCATGTCTACCTCCGTGTATTGTGCCCCCCCTCATTCCTCATCTAAAAATATGCGGATGTATTCGTTAGTCCAGTTAATGGGTAGATAGCAGCTACACTTACTCTAATCCAACATCCGTTATTATCTCTCCCTCTAATTCTTTACCTTGCCTATTTCTTTTTTGCTACTATTCTGTAGTTGACATGGTAGCTCTCATGAATATCATACAGAAATCGTATCAAAAAAGGATCTTAGGAGAGGGGTATCCCGTATATTCATTCACATACGGTACCCGTATGGCAGTCTCCATTTCTCTCCTTTCTTCACATGGCGGGGGGAGAAAATCGGGAAAACAAAAAAAGCACATTACGTGACAATATCATCCAAACTCACCACTCACCACCCTACACTACACTTACCCTCCTACAACCACCAACTTGGCGATCTCCAGTACTCCTTACTTGATACACTTTCCCTCCTCCTCCTCCTCCTCCTCCAAACAACCAGTCTTCCTTGCCCTTTTTTACGATACTCTCCCCCCCCTTTACCCCCGTAACCCGCATAACGCTCATCACCCGCCATCATCACAGCCTCCCTCCTCCTCCCCTCCCTTCTCCTCCAATCGGCTCCGCAGCGCAGCAATCCACTCACTCACTCCACCGTTAGCAAACCATCATGCACCAGATAGATCGGTTAGTCACTACTCGTAACTAGCAAAAAGAAAAGAATGAATGAAAAAGCAAAATCGTAATTATGATAATTCCCGTTTTATTATAATAAATATCATACCAATAACGGGAAATATCCCCCCGCCGCCGCCGCCGCCGCCCCAATCCCGCCCCCAAAACCCCCGAGATTTTCAGGGGGGGTTACCGTTATGATATCGTAGCATAAATCCAACCCATCCATCCAATTCATATTTTTCTTTCTTTCTTTTTCTTTGTTGTTGCTCCCCCGTGACCATTACTTGTACTTGTAGACCAGACTAGACTAGACTAGCACCGACCACCGGACCCGTCCGCGAAACCTCCCCCCCCTCGCGAGTTATCATACAATTTGTAGTACCATGATACTTGTATGTTGCGTGGCGTTACTTACCCGCTACAACCACACCACTTTGAAGTTTGAACTCCCTCGGAGGAGGCCCTTTTTACTTATTGGTGCCCTGAACAGGCGTTTAACCCCACATTCGTTTTATGATATGGTACTCCTTGGTAACCCTTACTGCGCCCTACCGTACCAAGGCAAGGGGGAGGACGCGACATATGATATGTCGATCGTCGATTTAATTTATTTATCTCATTTATTTTGCAGTTTGAGAGGGGGAGGGGAACCCGGGAGTTGGGTGCATTGGGTTGTCGCTGCTACGGTATTATACAGTACGTATACCTGAGTAAGTGTTTGTCAGAGAACCCCCACCCGGGCGTAGACTATGCCATTCTACTCGAGTACCAGTCTAGTACTTGTACAGTAGCTTCTACGAGTACACTGCGCTGTAATATACCGGTAGTCTACCGGTAACCCGCAGATGCAGACTTCAACATGGTAGGGAAAGAGGCCACGAGATATCATACTGTATCATAAGTGCAAGAAACGTTGGAGTTTGTGTAAATGCTCCCTCCTCCTCACCCCAGAGAAATGGAAGGTCTGAAAAACAATTTGAAAAAAAAAATGTCAAGTTAGAGCCTCCCGAGTGGGACCGATGGCCAATTGAAAAAAACCCGCCGTGAGGGATGCGTGGGAGGAAGGTAGGATCATGTGATGCCCGGGAAATTGGAGACAGTATGGTACAGTACCGGTACCGTACAGTGGACTGGATGGAGAGAAGATCGCGCTTCGCTACCGGTTATGGCCCTTTGCCGCCACACGGTAAAGGTACATGTACGAGTACAGTACTCTTACTGTACTCGAGTACACATGCTAATACCGGTATACTCGGATGGAATACCGGTATTAGGCTATCGAATGCATCACTACTTGTACTAGAGTACCGGTATGATATATGTCGCCCGTACATATCAAAGTCTCAGAGTTGTGGCTGATGCACACAAAGGTGATTCCAGTGGGCAATAGATACCGTGGCACTGATACATTCCACCACATGCCTACCCGTGCTGCAACAACAACGTTGACGATCATAACACAACCCCAACCTCACAAGTCCTCACTCCCCCCCCTCAAGACTCAATTCGCACAGACAACACTCCCGTCTTTCCCCCCACTCAAAATTTCCACAACCCAAGCTCTCCAACAAGAAACAAGAAATGAACCTTTCTCTCTATGGCATCCTTTTATATCTCGTTTTCTACCGTTTCATTTCGTTCCGCTTCGCGCAGCCCGTTTCACCCTGGCCGGGCGATCTCAAATCACATGACTGACGAGAATCAATTAACCGACAAAAAGTCTGCGCACCGTACTTTTCAATTCCAATCTCTCTCCTACCAGGCCTTGTCTAACTCCTCCTCTGACCATCTTGTCTCGTATCACTATCTCGACCCGACAGTAGAAACCCCTCCGTTTCCCTTCCACAACACCATGGTATTATCGCCCTACCAGAGATCGTCAGTCTGTCGGTCTTTCCACCCTCTCAAAAAAACAAATTTAAAAAAAAAAAAAAAAAAAAACTCTCGACGCCACTGTAGGGGCTCAGATTGATTCTCCAGCTAAGAGATGCAAAGCCCATACTAGTACGAGTACCCGGGGGAAGGAAAGTGACCGTGGGAAATTGCGTTCGAGGAGAGGCTCCAGCACTGACGAATTTTTCTTCAAAATCGACGATAATATGCCACAAAAAAAGCGTGTAATCCTGGCAATTGTGAGATATGTCTCGCCGGATCAGATCAGGATCCTAGCTTTTCTGCAGTGGCGTTAGAGCGAGTTTTGAAGTTTCATGATACCGGTACTGTAGGTTTGAAAAAGTGGGTTGGGTGAAAGGGTGCGTGTGTTGACCCTTCCTTTCTTGCTTTCTTTTTGAGGTATGGGGATCGGTACTTGCATACTAAGGGCGAGAGGAGGAGTTGGTGGTGGGGGTGTAGGGCGGCCTAAGGGGGCTTGCTGGACGGCTGGCCAGGTGGGCGGGGGACGTGGGTGAACATGCGAAAGAAGAAATATATTCCCATACCGGTATCATGGGAAAGATAACGAACGAACGAAAGAATGAACAGTACCTCGAACCAACCCCCGAGCAGTTGGCTCGTTGTGCTCCCCTTTCATTCTTTTGTTCCTCCTTCGCACCGCCAGTACCTTACTGGCACATTACTGTGCTGCACACACTCGTAATTGAACGATGTTTGTGAACACGACCACTATTGTATGACACAGAGATCAAAGAAAAAAGCTGAATTTTGGCAGTATGCAATGGCAGTTGTGTTCACAAACCTCGTTCAATTCAAGTACGAGTACGACACCGCCCCAGCTACATGATATGCACACAACCCCGATATGTGATGCGAAAGCCCAGCGAGCCCGTAACTCGGACGCATATCCAACTTTCCAGCGAAAAACCACTACCACCAACGAATTCGTGCCCCCACTGGAACCGAACCCCCTCCCTGCCCGTGAATGAATGAATGAGCGTGCGGGACGCACTAGGCGACTCTTCCAAGCACCGGAACACCCGTAATTTGGACCTCAAGCTAGACGTCCAGAATTTCCTCCTTTGGATTAGGGGGAGAAAAATACAACGAAAAAAAACCGTCTTTCAGCCCTCAGCCGAGACAAATAAAAAGAAAAATACGACTGCCCTTACTAGGACCCTACTTGTAGAAGGGACAACTCTAACGTCCTAGCGTGAGGTCCAGCTGCTCCAATTTTCACGGCGCCTGGAATGGGAAAGAGTAAGTGACCCAGTTATGGTATAATTAATGCCTCCGCAGGTACCTAATTCTGTGGAAATAGCTGTATCCCATTCCTTCAGTCAGGTAACCCACATTCCCATAACTTTTAAAAATCCCCGAGTAAGGTACCCCCGCGCGTTCACAAAAACAACCCAACATTCTGGCGTCGACCGGACGAACACGCAGCAAGCGTACCTACGCTGCGGTCCATGGCCCGTAGACAGTTTCAGCAATCGACATCGGAAGTCTTCCACCGTCGCCCTCCCTCCCTCGCCACAAAATTGATGAACATTGAAAGACAACAATATCACAGCGCAGGATACAGTTATGTGAAAACCTCAACCCCCTCAATCTCACATCCACATATCCTCCCCCATTCCTCAAAAAAAAAAAAAAAGCCCCCGGAAACCTCAGACCTCGTTCGGGATCCTTATCTCCATGGAGAACTCTTCTTCTTCCCCCTCCACAAACCCAAATGATTCTGGCCCGCGTTCGCGTGGCACACTATTCCGGTACTAGTGCTCGCAGCTTCAGAGGTTTTTTTGGGGGGGAAGAAGTGAAAACTCGGTCGGTGAGCAAGGCGAAGCGAGGCGGATCTACTGTACTGTATCTATTCCATCGGATTACAGTAGATCTGATTCGGCCGTAATGTGATGTGATGTGATGTGATGTGATTAGGATTTGCGCGAGCGTTTGGCCATGTGTCGTTGTTGGCGTACCATAATTGGTGGGAGAACTGGTTCAGCTCTGTCTGTCTGTTTGTCCAAGTTGGGTTACGGAGTGGAGAGTATCGTAGGGTATGAAGGGGGGGCAGGTTGTGAGTAGATACGGAGGCTGATACACTCGATAGAAGGGTCTATGGTTTTCCGAGTGCGTTTTCATGATCGTATTTCATTGGGAAGGTTCAAAGTTCTCGATATCATACAACAACCCAGTACACTGCGTAGACTATCATACCTACCCCCACACGGAGAGAAGTTTTTAGGGTCTGTTTTGTTGAGCTGGTATGATGCCATTCACCCACACGTATCCACAGTACTCGTATGATACCTTCACTGATTACCGGTACTTGCTTACTCTCACGTTCTGGACCCCCCTTCCCTCGCTAAGCGCGAGAATCGAAGAAGGAAGGAAGGAAAGAAACGAAAAAAAGTAAGCAAGCAAGCAAGCATGGACGTGCTCACTCGCCTTGTCAACTGCCGTTACAGCAGGCTGCATGCCTACCTTACTACTCGAGTACAAGCACCGTCCTATTCCGTCTCATCTTCAATGCCCTACCGTACCCTAATACCCTACAGCACCGTCGTCATCGTGCTGCAATTGAGAAGAAAAACTGGTGTTCAAGTACGCAGTGCTTCGAAAAAGTATCTCTACTTGGTCGCCTCCTTGCACCTGTACATGCGCTGGCAG